ATCTAGACCTATTTGAAATATATTCCCACTCCCCGCTGGTTTCCTCATCCGCCAACTGTGCCGGGAGTGTTGATCCAAGGCTGAGGTTTATTCCGCAATCCTCCTCCTTCAGATTTTATCAGAATCCTATCAGAATCCCCCATTGTTTTCATAAGATGAATAGTAGATAGCTCTCAATGGAAGGTGGCTGGAACGGCGGAAGCACAGACTATTGGAAGGTTGGGCCTTAAATGATCTGCTAATAGGCTGATCTCATTTTACCTCTAAGTTAGTATGAACATTTTGAGCAAAGGGATTCTTAAAATGGAAACATACATTTTCAGAGCAATATCGGCAAACAATCCATGGGTTGCTAATCGGAAGGCCAGGCTGCCCATGAAATAACGCAGTTGTATAGGCTGTTTGCCTTATTTTTCTCTTTTCACTTAGAAGAAAACGCCGCTAAAATGCACATCTTTCCATTGGTTTGAGGCTGGGCCAGTCGTAATTTACAACATTTTGGCGTGGATGGTTGTCATAAAAGTAGTTGTGCCTAACGCATAAAACTATCAATTAGAAAGTCGTCATCTGTCGAGTGCGCCTCGTTAGAGGGCAGTATGCATGGTCGTATCTGGCTGCTCCGTTTCTTGTGCCATGGCCACGGGGCAAAGATGCCCAACCTAAATGAAGCTCTCCAGACCGAGAACTGTTCAATTTTGTCTTCAAATGATAAGGATTACGCTGAGGATTGTGGTTGGAGTGAAGTCACACAGGCCATTGAGCGATCGAATTTTCAGATGAATCCACCAGCAAATTGCCAAGACCTACAGATTCTAATGACCCTGATTCAGCTGTATACTACTTGTTTCCATCCCTCTTCAGAAAAGCGATATCATAAAGCCCAATTAACCGTAACTTGAAAACATTTAAGTTACTGCTAGCATGTTCTAGAATAAGCAGGAAGTAATCAATGTTAGGTAAGACATTGCCAAAGAGAATAGTGTCAACTGCTTTTGTTTTAGTTCTAAAACTTAGTTTTTTCCAATCGTGTGAAATGATGATAAAAGTGAAGGGTTCCACTTAGGATTATATCCCAGAATCTTAACTTATCCTGAAAAATTACGTCCAAACATATTAGTTATTTTTAAAGTCTATTAATCCTATCACGCCGATAGTTGCGTCAAAATTTTAGTTCACTTAAGGTTGGATGAGAATTCCTTCTGGGGAAGCTAGGCTATCTGAAATTCAATGGAAACTTAAGGTCTGCTCATATCATTGAGGTAAACTTTAATAACGAATCACATTATCATCTCGTGTGTATCATCTATTAGTAGTCTCGAAAACCTGCAGAAAAACGAAGAACTTTATTTATTTGTTCAAAGATATGAAGACCAAGATGGTGTGGCCTTTTGTGTGGTCGTCGTCTCCTTTCGCTGTATAGAAGTTGTTTGACCTTGTTTTCGCAAATTGGTCATAATGGTAGGAAGACTGATAGAAACGCCCCTTGTCCTGAGTCCATTGTATGCATAATTATTTC